GTGCAAGTAAAACAGATGAGAGAGAAAAAATAGGTGAAAACGAGACGCTTCCGACCCCGATAACTTTAACAGGAGTCCCATTAGCCACTCGAACAGACTGAACAGGCGGAGCTGTCAAGGAATCAAATGTAGAGGAATTACAGGTAAAATGATCGGTAGCTCCAGAATCTATAACCCAACAATCAGATGCAGTAGAAGTAGAGTGCAACCCAAAGATACTTTCCCCAGGAGATGAACCAGCAACGTGGGAAGCCATTCTTTCAAGAATAGATAGCACGGGAACCACCAAATGCAAACAATTCAAATTACACGTGACTGATAACAACAACCCAATGTAACAAGGTAGCACCACCACCAGAAAGTTTTAGAATGTGCAAAACCAATACCTTTGGCAACTACAAAGGTTTAGGGCTCGATTTAATCAACCCACATATCACAAGTTCACTCCAAACCCTTAAGCTCAACTTACTACACCAACAAACCAGCTTTTTTTCAAATAAATACTCGAAGAAAGTGGAGGAAAATCTCATCCGGGCTCAAGATTGGATTAAATCTAGTTCAAAGAACCTGAGAGAGAGATACACGCAACAAGCGTACCGAAAATCACGTCTGGCGTTTGGGCTGAGGAGGACAGCACCGGAAATCATGTCGGGGCAGAGGAGAACGGCGCTGGAAATCGAGTCTGGGCAGCTGAAATCGCGACTGGGCAGAGGAGAACGGTGCCGGAAATCGCGTGTGGGCAACCGGAATTGCGTCTGAATCGCTTCTGAATCGTGACTGGCAGCCGAAAAAAATCCCCGGCACTAAGGTTACCGAAAACGACGTCGCCTCCGGCACTAGGGTAACCGATCGCTCTGATACCAAGTAGATTTGGGAGAAAAGATTTTTTCTCATTCATCCATCGTGCAAAGTATATACATGAAAGAAAAGAATATTTACATCATAGTCCCTACCAATTTACAATGGCTACAAGTTGGTAACTATGAATAAAAATATATGTATTTCAACTTTTCTTCCAAATTTATGTACTTTGTTCTTGACTCCATATTCTCAATTGTGTTCTTCTTCCATTAATGGTTTACTTTTAAAGCATGTTTGATTTCTTCTAAACACCTTGATTTTTCATTGTGTTCATT